TGAAATATAAGGGGTTTTCTTGTCCGGCATCACTTTCCAGCGACGAAAAACTGTGACGTTAAGAATAAACATGTCATGTACAAGGGTTTGGCTGACAATCAAAATTTAGGGTGTTTTAAAGTGTTGGAACGGCACTGAGGGATCATCACTGCTGCATTAGGAGTCGACGGGCAATAATCTGATGGCACAATGACGGCAAGTGTCTGTGAAAACACAACCACTTCACAAGTCCAATGCTAAAATTAGAACCTCCTTTAGTGAGTCGAATTAGCTTAGTGTGCGCACAATCTGGATTTTGTTTATGTTAATAAAAGCCAAGTCGTTGTTAGACCAATTTGTGACCTATATGTGTCTTTTAAGAAGTTCAATCGTGCTGATTATGCGCATCCCACCTGACTTTACATCTGGAAGATCTCTGATAAGCCAGTCTAAACAATTGCAAATCATAGTCGTCAAATGTAATGCACAATTGACTGTTAATTTCAAATGCAACCTTTTTGGCTACGATTTCATGCTTTACTTGTTTCTATGCAGCGTGGATTTTCCTAAACGTATTCAGGTCCCGCCTTGTTTGTTGTTGAAATGTTGCAAGTTGGTTTGTCAAGCCAAAGATCACCAAGCCTTTGAGATCACTAATCAATTTCAAGACTATGTCATTTACTGAATTTTAAGGAATTTAATTTATGCTTCACATTCCACAAATTAGACCTAACACAGGTAGAAACGCATGCACTCATTTGATAATTCATGGAAGAAAGTCTTGACAGGGCAATAATTACTGAGTCTCACAATGAAAGATGAGAGACTAAGCTCTAATTCAAGCCATTTACGGACGTTCAGTTCGAATAACTCACATCACAAGACGGCGCCGCTGTGACTATAAATATAGGTGTCCCGCACAAACAAATCACATTTAACAACTATGCACCCTTTGCCGGGCTGGTCACTTTAATTCTCAAGGCCCTATCATAAAGCGATGCTAGCATATTTTTCTGGAGGACGAGCACATTAGTCCGCCTTAAAAATGCTTTTAATCATCTCAACGCATTTTTTGAAGCTTTTTTTGAGAAAAAGTACCAATTGTTCCATTATTCATCTCTTCAAATTAGTTTTAATTCACGATCGGATCAGTTTTGAATATGTTAATGTGATACGTGGGGCAAATTAGCTGGTAAATATGCCACATGAGGGAGAACTTCCCATCCCAAGTTCAAGAGGATTTTTTGAGTAGCACGAGCAGCGTGCTGTCAAGCGTTCTCATGCAGTATCATGACTTGCCTGTTTCCTCATCCAGTAAAAGGCCTTTTCTGGTCAAGTTCTTCACAAAGTTTGTTTGGTTTTCGGCTGTAGCTTTTCGCAGTCACCGTCTGACTGTTTTCCAAAAAACCGTGATAAAATATGCCTTTTATGTCCTACCAGACATCCAGGAGAATCTTCTTCAAGTGAATGTACAGTTTCGACGTTAATGTACTGGGTCGCCTGAGATCTACTCACGACTTATTACGTTTGAGATTCTCGTGCAAAATATGCTTTCCATCACTCGTCATAATTTTTCACAAGAAGTCCTTCTTTGTTGCTGTTTGATAAACACATGTGGGATCAAATCCCAGGCTTTGAATTTTTCCCATTTTGTGATGTAAGCGCTTGGAAATAGCTCTTTGGGTAACTCCTAACTGAGCCACAACCTCGGGTTGCGTTTGCACTGGGTCTTCATCCGGTAAGCCTTGCAACTACGTATCTCCAATTTGTCGAGGCTGGTCACCAGGATCAAAACCACAATATGAAAAATAATTACACCAATAATTATATGCTTCATAAGACAACGTCGGCACCAAGAACACTCAAAATTGGTGCCCGTGCGTTAGAAGCACTTTTTCTTTGCTGCAAATCGCATTAAATGCAGTGCCATCGAATGTTCAGTTGTCATCGTAAACTATGCTATTCTGAGAGGTTATGTGACTCACATTGATTTGTCGTTTGGTGTTCTGAAATCTTACATCCGATCCTTTCAAAATGACAAACGAACAGAAAAATATTTCAATTTCAAATAAAATTTTAAGCTTGAATAAAAAATCTTCGCCTAATATATAATGCTGCTACTAAAACTCACTCTTTGGCCTTATGATTCCGATTTGACATTTTTGAGATATTTGAGTGAGTTATTAAGTATAAACACATTTGCTTACAAGAGCGATACTTATGATACCTTCACACTATATAGACGCCAATTTTGAGCCAATATTTATGCCAAACTTAAAACCTCAAATTTAAGAACCAGTTGAAATAAAATTCAAAATGAAAATCGTATTCTTCCGATTTAAGGCCGGTTGTTTGCAGACTGGATAAATTCTAATGGATAGGCAGTGCTGTGTACTTCTGCAACCGGATGTGGCGTCTACTGTCAGCGGAAAACAACGTGTTTGCACTGAATGACGCCACTGTCGAGTGTGCAAGTTGACGCGCGACGTGGTTTATGGCCTGGCTCGCGTGTTCTTCGAGAAAAGCTGGTCGGTCAAAATAAAAGTCAAGGACTTTAGAAAAATCCTTGCTGGCTAAGCAAAATATAATGCATATTGCCTACCTTTTTTACAGAACTAGACAGAAAACATGCATGACTCTCTATGTTGAATGTCAGAGTGCCTAATATTCTACCCTAGCTTTAACTAGTGCTGGTAAAATTCGACAAATATCGGAATCCGTCACCTTGACAGCCCAACCTGAAAGTACTAATGAATGCTACAACCGAAGACCCTTTATTTTTTGTTAAGGGAGTGGTCAGATACAACGCACTCTTCTCATAAGACGACGCAGATTGGCGATCAGCACTTTTCACGCTTTATACCGTACCGGTGTATGGATAAAATCCCTGTTTATGGTATAAGGCTTTGTCTAGAACCTCTGGTTGCAAATAATAAAAAGTAAAGTGTCCAAGACATGTGACACCGTTTTTTTTGAAATTCTTAGGCCACTTACTGTTTCCAAATAAATGACTTGCAAATAACTTACAGTACCTAGGGTGACTGAAATTTAAATTAAGAAACCTATAGGAATGCTAGAACCTCCTGAAAGTACTATCATTGGAACCTGGTGAAATTTGGGCGTCTGCACAACTACTCAGAGACAACACGTATAATACATCATTAGAAATATGTAACAACTTTAGTCCCTCCAGTGCCATTTACAAGAAATAGTTTTGGCATCCCATAGCGAGGGGTTATCTTTAACCACGAGGAAAGTCGTTAGTTATTGGCCTTTTTCATGACCAATAGGCGTTTGGCAGCAAGCACAGCAACCAATCAGCTGCCCGAATTAAACTGGTCAGACTGACGTAAACTCGAAGACAATTGCGCACTTCGGGAGAGGCTTCCCATTGGATGGGCTTCAACCCGTCAATATTTAAAACATTTAAATTAGTATTAGCAATTTTCCAAACGTCAATATTTCAGCTCTGCAGGTTGCTACTTTAAAAGGTAATTTGACACTGAGTACTAAATTGATGCAATGAACGTGTTTATCTTATATCTCAATAACGTTCCTGTTTCTAATTCAACTATGGGCAAAGTTAGATCCGCTTCTGGTGTCTTGTCAACATGTTTTACTGTATAAAGATTTGTTGTGGTTCGAATGATTGAGCCATATTTGCATTACATTAATTTGGAATGGTGCTATAGTAAAGTGCTAGTTTTCGACTTTAATATAGCCAATTTACTCCATGAAAATCTGCCAAAATTATACTTGGATGAAGCACACATGTTAAAGCTTCGAAGTAGGTCACTAAATTATTCGTTTCAAATTCATCTCCCATTTTGGACGCGTGACTGACTTCTGGTAGCTATTCAATTTTTCTTAACTCATTAAACTTTGTTTTTGTGTTTTTTTAAAAGCTTTAGTGTTGGTGGGAATGAAAGCTTTTTTCTGATTTAACAAACAGGTCTTTAATTTTGGAACTTATTGTTGCTCAACCCAAACGCCTCAATCACCAGAGTCCCAAATAATTAATTTTTTGTAAAGTGTTATAAATTGTGGAGAATTTTTCACGAGATGGCCACTTTTAAAAACGCAGATCTCTGCATTTGGTATCTTATAACATCAATTTCTATTGACTTAGTGCTTTCGTCGTTTTTCGTAACTATGAGATGGTTGGTATCTAGAAATATCTATTGAAAGCGCTTTGGTTTAATTCGAAAACACATCTATTAATAGGGGGAAGAAGAGAGGAACATCGCTTCTCGAACAAAGGATGCGATTTTGATATTTTTTCAATGGCTGACTAATGTTAGCCAAAGAAATTGATTTTTAATAATCGTATATAAAAAGAAAGAAGGAATTTCGGTGGCATTTAAATAAGAGTTTTATCATTGTCTTATGGGACACCATCAAATGATGGTGCAGTTCACTGAAGATAATTTCGTGAAATTTCGTGGAAGTTGTCGCTTTTTATAGTTTGTCGCGCACATGTTAATAATGGCAAGTGCCAGTGTAAACATGTCTTCTAATTCATTGTCACATTTTACCAAACGTATCCTCACACCGTTCCATCAGTATGATCAAAAAAATTTACTATAACCGAGTTGATTATCCAAATTTCAGGACTCATTGCCATCGTAATTTCGGTAACTTAGCTACAAAGTCCGTTTTCATGGCACCAGTAATTTAAAGGATCTTTCAAAGTTTATTCGTGCGTTATGTAAAGTCGATATGGAAGCTCATGACGACAAAAAGTGAGTCTTATACATTAAAGAGGCATGTTACTTCAATTAAGCATTAGTTTAACTTTATCTGACACAATTTCTGTTTACTACGAAGTTGCGTAATATGATATTCGTTGTGGAGAATTAATCGATTTTGCTCTTCAAAAAATATTAATCAATATATATATTGTGACTTGTTTGAGCAAATTCCTGATTGGTTTTCTCTAAGTTACACGCGCGGATTCTGTCTACATTTTGTGTAAATAAGAATCCATTTTGTTTGTTTAGCCATTACATCTTTTACATAATATGACACTCGTGGACGTGGATGCCAATGCAAGAGAGGCAGAGGAAACAGAACTGGAGATAAACCTTGAGGAGATAGAACCACCAGTGCCTCCGGATGGTGGATGGGCGTGGATGGTGTTACTTGGCAGTGTAGTGTGCATGTTTTGTGTTGATGGTTTGTCATTTTCATTTGGGATCCTACTTTCCGACCTCCAGTCAAGTTTTGAGTGCACTATGACAAAAATTTCGCTAGCCGGCTCACTCATCGTTGGATTCACGCTTATATCCGGTAGGCGTCTCAGATTTTGTGTTTAAAACCTTTCGTTCGTCCGAAATTTACATTTGTTTTCATTTTACTGAAAGGACCCCTTGTCAGTGCGATTTCAAACAAATTCAGTTTTCGAACATTGGTCATAGCGGCTTCGGTAGTATCCTTTTGTTCCGTACTGGCCTGTGCTTTCGTTCAAGACGTCAATACCTTCATTGTACTATTTGGGTTTGTTACTGGTACGTTTATTTCTCATGGTATCTCTCACCAAAAGTTTCATTTAAAGTTTATTTTGACCTTTCCTAAAGTGTTACAGAATATTAAAAGCACCTTGTCAAGTGTAGTTGAAGTATGTGCATCTTAATTAAGTGAAGAATACAAAATTTAGTCCATACTCCGACCATTGTTTGTATACCTGTTTTCAAATCACTGTACAAACCCCTCACTACTTCAAGGATGGAAGTAAATTAATATGACTTCATTTGGTGACCCCGACGTTCTTTCACAAGCGTGCGCATCAGGAAAAGGTAGGAATATTATTAGCAAATCACCAATCAAATAATCCATTTACCCTGTCAATTTGACAATGTTGAATTCTGTAGTCAGTAAACTAAAAATCAACTTGTGCATCTGAAGGGCTGGGATGTAGGGATCCAACCTCGGCTTCCTGCATTAAATCTGAGAAAGAACACATTGAAACACCGTGTGAACTACTCAGGTCATATTGACTGAAGTGTCTCCGTATAATGCAACATTTGGTTTTCTTGGTTCACTCGACAGAACCCGTTTTTCAGTCACAATAAAATGACTTTGGCATATGAAATCACCTAAATTTACTAATATCTTTCAGCAAATATCATTCTTCTAAAGTTTTAGACAAGTTATTATGACTTCAGATACTGCTATTGACTCTCGCAATATCTTACAAGAAAATGATACCCATGAAAACGTGCTCTAATTACGTTTACATAGCATTATGGGGGGTGCGATTCTAATTCTAAAATTTCTCTACTTAAGTTTCGAATTTTTTTACAAATTAGTTAAATTGGTTTTTTGAAACAAAACAACAAAATAATAATGACATTATTATTTCCATTTTGTCCTGCATTTCATAATTAGTGTCCTTTTCTGCACTGCTATTCGTGGCAGTGAAAACCTGAATTTATAATGGGATCAATGTAGTTACTAATTGAGTAATTCTCTATTCTAAGTAACAATCCACTGATTTTACTGTGAAATGTGGAAATCTGGGTGATCTTTTGTTTAGCCATCAATTGCAGTGTCAGAAAGAATTAGTGCTTACTAAGTCCTGTCACCAGATGAGTGGTTGCATAGCAATTATCCCATTGCTAAAAGGGGCTTTCCTGGGACTAGTGTCGCGACAGGCCGGTTACGATTCCAAAAGCATTTTTCCAAATTCAAAATTGATTGTTGCAAGCTCTGCCGGCTAGCAAACAGCGCAAAATGCCATCGATTTCACGGCGTTGCCCGCTGCACCAAAGGCCTGGCACACACGACGCGCCCAGTACTTGTGTGCCTTTGCCGGTGTGGCAAGAATGACGAAATGCACGCGTTGTAGCCACGCGAAGGCATGAGGACCGCAAGTGACGTCAATCGCAGCCCGGATGTGACCATCTTTTCAAATTACCCAAATGCAAACTTTTTCGACGGAGGCCTTAAGCTTGCACTTTTAAAAAAAGGTCTTTTTTGTTGCTTCATCGCTGGTTAACTTATGGCATTTTATCTCGTAATCTCATGTGAAAACTAGTTTAAAGTGCCAAAAACTGTCCATCGGCTTCACTGACGTAACGAAAGTAAGACCTAACTTGCATAAATGTTTTGTTTATTGTGCGAAATGTTGGGTTTTCGGGTAACACTCAGGCAGTATATAACTATTCAAATATGAAGTTGTCTGCCCAAAAGCGTAACGAAAAAGCAAATAAAATGGAAGCAATCACTATTTTAACCTCGCTAACCGACAAAACAAGACTAATACTATCATCGAGTTCAAATGTGAATAGGACGTCTGGACAGGCCATAATATGTCGGTCGGTCGGTATTTTTTATCATGAAACAGAATCGGGACCTTGTCCCTCAAGGACGCCACTGCAGTTGAGTGAATAGCAGGCCATTTTAAGCTGGACCAACACATGAACCACGGTCAGTGTAAAGTTGTGAATTTGACTTTGGGGATGCAACGTGCTGCAAAAAAAACATTGTGTATTCATTCACCTCTAGAGTTTACTGATGGTAAGTACGTTTCATGGTAGAGAATCGACTTCAAGCCTGCGAATGTAAGGGTCTATAGAGGTTACAAAACGTCATTGAACTTAATGTCGTATAAGCAGATCAAAACTGGCGATAATCTAATTGCTAAATTGATATGCTGAAATTCCCAAGTCGAAACGTTTTGTGTTCCAACACACTCTTCAATTCCTGTGCATCTACACGTGTGCATTGTTTAAGGATATGCAGTTTGTTATGTATAAAAGTGCTTAAGTACATTCATTGACCACCAGGAGTCAAAAAGCTCTAAAACCAATTGCTTTTTTGTTATCCACTAGGGACCAGCTATGGCTTTATCTATCTGCCAGCCGCCACGATAGTATCGCAATGGTTTGCAAAAAGGCGCGCAACCGCCACTGGCATCTCGATGTGTGGCAGCAGTATGGGCACCACGATATACTCTTTCTTCCTCCCCAGCCTGTTAAAGGCCTACACATGGCGTGGCTGCATGGCAATTATGGCTGCAGTGTCGCTCCATTGTCTTGCTGCTGGTTGCCTTTTTATCCCCCTTCGTGAATATCAGAAACATTGTTCCATCGGGAAGAAGACGGTTCCCGAAGTAAGGTTGCATCAAAAGGATTCACAAGTATTACTCGAAAATGATCAGACAGAGCCCAAACCCTGGAGAGGGAGAACTTCTAACTCTGGGTCTGTCGCCGAGACTGGCCACTTACGACACTTTGAAAATGTTAGTGAATGCCTTTTTTACACGACTTACCATTAATATTAGTAGCAGAAGTCAGGTTATGCAAATGTTTTTCTCCGATGCTTCAAGCAAGCTCAGGGTGCGTTTGAACAGTTATTACATTGAATTAATTTTATATCACCTCACAATTCAATATCACCAGTGAAACGTCGAAATAGAAGTTAATCAAGTCATTCTAAATGCCCTGCCCATTCCGGCGAGTAGTTGATGCTATCCTAGCAGGTGACTAAGCGAGAAGAGTCACATGTGCCTCGGTTCCCTTGCTGTGGACCGTAGCATGAGTCACACAAGGCAAGATTGCGGACGTACACAAGTATCTGGGTTTTTCTTGCCCTAGCATCACGCCTTTTATTGGCTCAATATCCGTCATCTGCATCCTGCGTTCGTCTACTATGCAACACCTCGATTGAACTATTAATAAAGTGACGACAAGTTTAGGAATTTATGACGCGAACCCGGTAATGCTTGAACCTATGTCGAACAAGGATGCTGATCCGAATTGGGCGGTTTAAAATACTAGGCTTGATAATCAACCCCTCTGTGCTTGAAGATACCGGAAAAAGTCACGTCTGTTGTGAGTTTTGAAGAACCTTTTCTCACGTCGGGGTCACCAATTATTGTGGGCCCCAGCATGTGACCTTGAACCACACCGGGGCCATGGAATTAAGTCTGGCCGATTACGTTTCCCTGATACCGGCGATGAAGAAAAAGATCGGAAAGGACGTGGACACAACCGTTTACTTCCGAGCTCAACTACGTTGGTGTCGTTGTGTCGTGTGTGGGGTTTGCGCATGTGTATTTATAGCTCGGATGTGTGAGTCATACATGCGCTGACATTGAGACCTAGGTGTGGGGATGATCCTTGATAATGAAGGGGGAGTCGACGATCCGCGCGGCTGGCGACATCCAGCGACAAGGGGAACCCTGTATAGGAGGTGGAGCGACCGGATTAAGGGGTTGAATAAACACGATTCACGACACGTCTTTTAATGTCTGCCTCAATTTATTTTCTCCGGTCCCTGTCACATAATATTCACCGTCTCCTGCCTAGGTTACCGAGCCAACGTCGATGGGCAAAGCCGAGCGAGGGGACAAGCCCGATAACCAGCTTCCCAATTTGTCCTCCTCCGTTCGGGAAAATAGGCAAAACGGCTTTGATCATCATGACCTTGGAAATTCAAAATTGGAACCATTCGGTTTAGTTGGGAGTAAGTTTTGTCTAATGATAATTGTTAAAATAAAAAGCTATTAGCACAATTTCACACATTTACATACATCTCCGGCATGATTAATCCAATTAATCACATTAATTTCTAGTTGTAATTCAGTTGAAAATGGGTGTATGCGTCCTTGAACCAGAGGGAGGATGCTTCTGGAATGGTTGTGTGGAGGGTATTCTTCCGATCGTTATTACTTGAAAAAAACAACGTTTGTTGTAGAATGAAGAAAAACTCAACTATAAAAGCTGTTTTACGAATTGTTAATACCCAGTGTTTGACAATGCTTCAGTGGATTTTGAGACCACCCAACCAAGAAATTAAATCCACTTTATTAAACCTTTTAATTCAGACGTTAATTACTCCGTTATCAGGACCCAATTCTGTTCCTGACGTACAACGTGGATTTTTATATTCTACAATGCTGTTTATTGAATATTTGTGTTACTCAAAAGTCAAGATGAGTGAGGTTTTTATCTGTTGTTGCTCACCCAAGTTTGATTCACTTTGATCATCCATCGTGCGTCCCACTTAATCTAATTGTGGTAACATATAAATTTCATTCGGCCGAATTGTAGGCAATAAAGTTTTCCATCCAATTTCTAATGTCCTCTGAAATTTTGCGAAATTGAAGTTTGAACTAGTTGTAGCAAGCACAGGATTATTTAAAGGTTGATTATTCTACCTCGAAAGTGATTGGGTAGTCTAAGGCTCCACATATGAGTAGTCTGATTCTTACCTCTGCACGCAAATGCACTAACTGGCATCGTATGCGATGAAGCAACGCATAATACGCACGCAACCATGGATTGTGTACTTGAAACGCTGATTTGGCTGATGATTTTTTGAATTTTGGCGACTGGATATTGGTGGGAGTGATCCCTGAATTCATGGTGCCTTAAAGTAAAACAAAAAATCGCAGCACCTTGCACATACGACTTTGAAAGCTTGTAGTTCAGTAGATTGAGCTCTAAATATCGTACTGGTGCTTGCATTCTTACAATTTATTAATTTTACTATTTCCAAATCAGTATGACATTTTTCTACCGACTTAACCAAATCTAGCGGTGGTAACATAAACAAAATGCAATCGAGACAGCCCGTGTCGCGTCTTGTGGGTATTTCGGGCCTGGCAGTTCTTCACAGCCAAACCCCCTACCCTCCTCTTTGTTTGTTTTAGCGTCTGTCTGCAGGCGGGCCGCACTGTGTGCATGGTGCGGGGTCTACGCTCGACACTTTTGATTGACGTTTTCGGTTTATATTGGTGGCTTATAAAGTGTACAAGGTCTCGCCTTGTTTGCATTCCCAGAATTATATTTGTAACCTGTAGATAAATACCATAAAGGTCGGTGTTAGCACTGTTTCCGTAATGTGGTGTAATTATAATAAGAAACAGCACCTATTTCTCGACTAAACAGACTCCAATGACGGATTTTTTCTCTTAATGCACCTCCCTAGGACTATAATCTTCAAAGTTTACGTCAATCTGCACACGGCAAACTTTTTCTTTTATTGCGAAATTACGGAAATTACTCAATGATAAACGGATTTTTAACTGAGTTAAGAATGCGTCCTGTCCGTCAAGTAGTTTTGTAAAGCCTCTCCTCTTTGGCAAGCATTGGTGTCTAGCGCACCTTGACGTACATCATTCCGATACAGAGTCCGGTTCTCGCTTATAGCAGTCATATTAATTAAGGACTTGAAGTTTCATATAAAGTGACTTATATGAAGACTTTTGCAGGTTTGTAAACTCCTTTCCTTCGCAAAAATACGTTTTTTTTAATATTCGCCTTTGTTTTCCACGTTAGGAGGGAATATCGCAGAGGCTTGTTACAGACCACACTGAATAAAGTCTTCTGGTTTTCAGGTGGGGACATTCCTCGAATAGATGGAATTCATAAACGTCAGCCCCCTGTAGTTGGGCTGAACACAGTGACCCGTGTTGTTGGCGAGGTCTTGTTGCATCAAAATCGCAATCGTCCATATTCCCGACGGCGTACTGTCTCTGCTCTCAACCGATCTCCGCCGCCATTGTCTGTTGAACCCTCAACTGGAGCTTCCGTTTACGTAAAAGTAGGCTTTTGGCTGTTTGAGGATCGATTTATTCGCCACCTGGTGAAGTCCGTTCAAATTAGGGGTGGATTTACTGCACATATCATCCGGTATCACTGTAAAAAGACGCTTGAGGACGATCCGCTCTTTTGGGTTATTTTTGCTAGACGTAATCGCCCTAGCAGAAGATGTCCACGTCACTAACTGGGACCAGTTGTAGAAAGTAAAACAGTGGTAGGAGTCAGCGTGCTCCCTTCAGTGCACCAGATTTGTCGTCACTAAGCTTGCTATCTTACATAGGTGGGAACCCTTGATATCCGCTTTCATTTATTCATTTTTCAACTAAGATCCTGTCTGTTTCAGGATCTATGTCTAATACACATCGGGCAGTATCAACTATGAACGGCATCCTTAATGAAATTTCTCACCACTCAACGATGAAAAGCTGGCTAGCAAACTATGCACCATTGGTTAGACGAAGGCGGGTAGAATCTGGATTTGTCTCTTGTTTTTACAAGTGCCAATATCAAATTTTAATAATTGAGCACACGTAATAGGAAATACTAGCCATAGGAAGAAGGTTTCCATTTGTTTAGTGACGTTTAATGATCGAGGTGATTTAAACAAGTATACCCCGCAAATATTAATTAGAACTTTGAAATGCCATCTCTTCCCGTTCAAGCATGACCAGTCAAGAGGAAATGAGCTATTTGCTTCAGCGGTATCACTCCGTCCGACCGCTGAGTCAGGTATTACCGTAGATCCTTCGCTTAGACGGGAAATCGTTCGTCAGTTGGAAAGAGAAATGGACATGCCTGCGAATCGCAGGGACTTTTTCTACTCCGGTAGCATGGTGCATATTAACGAGGTACTCCACGTTTTCATGAATTTTACCATAGTCTACTTGTGCTTATTTAGTACATACTTTTTTTTAACTATTATGGTTAGGTAAAATCGAATAGGATTTTGGTAACATGTAATAGCAGTAGTAGCATGGGTCCAAACTAAAACTTGACGTCCTTTCTTAATAATTATGACTTTTGTCAAATAATACTTAGGGTGATTTATTTATTAACTATACTTTTCCATAGTCGGGTGAACATCATGAAGCGGGCACTTTAGTCAGGGATTGCCTATTGAGATGCTTGTTTAAGTGCTACACCTGAATCTTACTAGTTACTTGTTATCATTAATTTTACGTATGATTCACAATACTTGTGACTCTTGACATTATAAACGACCCATTAGGAAGTTTAACAAAATTGTGATTTAATTTAAAATGACGGTGCTTCAAGATTAATCCTTTTTTTCTATTCATTCACAGTATATCTCCTCATCTAACTTGAACGATTACGTGCGAAGCGTGACCAAAATCCCCGCGAACGACTCAAGTGACCTCGCCGAGATCACGCGCCCATCCAACTACGTGCTCGCCATGCTCGGTGAGCTGTTCGACATCGGCCTGCTCAAAAGCCCCACGTTTATTCTCCTCTTGGCATCGAGTGTGTTTGGCCTCTTTGGTAAGCGGGTCGCTTGTCAAATTCCATGATTCCGTGATTCCCTTCCTGTTCTTTTAGTTGGTTAGCCACATTTATCAGGTGAGAGGTAGATTCAGTTTTGACAACAGAATTAGGTCATAAACTATTTACATGTGCTGATTTTTTATCCCAGCCCAAAAGTATCTAATTTTTTAATGCTTCCTATTTAGGCTACCCGGTGCCGTACGTATTTTTGAAGGACGAAGCACAAACTCTGGGTTACTCAACGGAGTCCTCAGCTCATTTGATTGTCTACATGTGTGCAGTAAACACAGTCGGTCGTGTCTTGGCCGGTAAATATTAGCAATATGTACTCATTTTCGATCACGCTGCATGCATCCCATGTTTTAGAGATTTACATTTTGGTACATTTTCAAGTGCAAGCATCAAGGTAAACTCGTACCACTTGTTACAAACTAACTTGGAGCTGAGTCTCTGAATTTATTGAGTTCAAGCCTTAGAAAATTGGAAGTTTTGGGTTAATTTCATCCAATGCCATCTGATGCTAATACCCTAGACATGATTAGTGGGCGAGGGCTTCTTCCTGTTTTAACCAATACCTGATTTAATATGAGGTGTTGGGTAGACCAGTAAAGGTGTGGGGGTGCGCTTTCATATCACCGGTTGCTTAACTCAATTCGGAGGCGATAAAACGTCTGGCTCTTTTAAAGCTAGCCTAATCATCACAGAATACGAAATACGTAGAATTTAAAATATGCATTGATTCCATGTATACCGTAAAGTGGATCCTGGCGCTTTTCTTTGAGGCGTGATTTCCGATTGGCCGTGCACGGATGCGCTGATTGTGAACAACGGAGCCTTAATAGTCTCTGGAGTCGCCTGCGTTTTGCTGCCTGTGCTGCCCTCGTATTCCGGCCACGTCACCTTCGCTGTTACCTACGGTCTTGCGATAGGTAAGCCGACTCTTAGTCTGACTTTGAACACGGTTGCGTCGTTCATAAAACTGGGTGAGGAACCCCTCGAAGTGGTCACTGGGCTAAGCGCGCTCACACTTGGCGAATTCATATGCACTGCTCTAAATCATAGCCGAAAATGTGAATTTAGTGATTATTCATAGCCTCTAATTCTGTTCATAGGAGAGTTGAAGCCAGGCCTTGCCTACATTTTACCTCACACGCCCTGTCTCTTCTGCTGGGTGTCATGAAGTTTGCCTTCTCATAACTGTTTTGGACATAACGGTTCTGACTGACCTGGTTTAAGGTAGCAAATTTGCCAATGTCATTAATTTCGACAGCTTAATTCATTTTAGGCCATCTGTGAGATTTTACAGAAAACTGAAGACTCTGCATTTGTGATAACGCATATAATACTGCCCGTTTGTTGTCCTGAGCGCATACTTGACATTGACCATTGTAGAAATTCAGGCATTAAATTTTATGACCAAATGTCATAATTTGTCTGAATCGATGTTATATTTAAAGACCTACTCCCTAAAAAAACTTTTCAACTTGTCCAAGTATTACAGAAATGTATTATCTTCATCGAAGCTCTAAGTCGCTTAATTGACCTGAATTTACTCTAGATAACTTTTTTTTATTTTAACTTGAAGAATTCCGCGTTTCCTTGTTCGTGCTTATCACAGGTACAGGATTTACTCTTGGGTAGTTGCACAAGTACTGTGGAGTCCTCATTGGCCAAATGTGTCAATAAGTAAAAAAAAATTCTACTTTTTTTCATAGCTGCTTTTGTTTCGTTGCGAATTATCCTGCTGGTGGAGATGTTGGGGCTGGAGCGGCTCACAAACGCCTTCGGATTCCTTTTGCTCTTCCAAGGT